TATATATATATATTGAACTGAGGCCATTTAGTGGTACTCTTGTGTATTTGTGTTCAGGGCTGCCCCTTAGGATTGGATAGGCTCTCAGAAAGCTCGTCCCTGGAGAAAGCTGATTCTCTCTCCCTCAGCATCCATTGATTGCCTGTAGCTGTTCATCTTGAGGTGGAACCCCATGAAATGTCCCCCATCCACTTTGGCAAGTCAACTAGTTTGGTCATTATGCAGATCTCGCTAGACTACCATACAGTGGAGAGTTAACTGGTGAAGCTTCCCTATCATGTCTAGAATGCATTAACTACCAGCAAGTGCCTTGTTCTTCTGGCTCTTACACTCTTTCTGAATTTGAAATACATATATTCTGAACAATGTATAACATTTATTTTTCTGACTCTGAACACCCTAGACAACCGTGATCTTTGCATGTTAAATTATTGCCACATTTCATAAACCTAGTCTCAAATACTATAATCAATTTTAGAATTTATATCTTGGCATACTAATTACATCAACACTTAAAATTGTAGGTCTAATTTTAAACTCATTATATTAAAAATTTTTCTAAAACTCATATTCCTTACATTGTAATTAAAAATACCTCTCAAATTAGTGACACATCTAAAGATTTTTCTCAGAGAAACATATTCTGCTGTTGGCCACGACATCCAGGTCTTCCTGACCAATGAAACCATTCATTTTTGTTATTATACTCACAAAGCCACAGGTCTTTGCCTAAAGGTCATAAGAAAAGCACAAATCAGACATCCTCGTTTCATTTCTGTGAACTTGCAAATTTTAAAAGATAAGGATTTGATGGCATGTTTATGAGCCTCTGAAAATTACCAGATTTATGGATTCAGAGCAGAGAATGAAATGCTAAAGTATAAACCTTTTTTCTTCTTCCAATTCTTCCCCTAATCTTAACCCCCAAGATGATAATTACATAGGTTTAAAGAAAAAGGAGGCAACCTAAAGAGATATCTATGATGTTCTCCTGGAAGTGGAGTAAATTAAGGCCATGAGCTCTTGGTATCAGTTTCAGAAGATCTGGACTGCTGTCAGCCATTTCTATTCTAGCGCAATGGAAAGTACCCCATAGGATGATTACCTTGGACTATCCAGCTCAGCCCTAAACACAATCACAAGTGTTATAAGAAGGAGGCAGATGGTTGAGGATATAACTCAGTGGTAGAACACTCACCTAAACTTGGTGAAGAGCCTAGTTTTGATCCCCATTGCTGCAAAATAAATAGATAAGGAGGCAGAGAGACTTGATTATGGAAGAATACACAGACTGAAGCAAGATGCTATTGTGCTTGCTTTGAGGATGAACGCAAGAAGCCACAAACTAAGGAGCCATAGCTCTAGAAGACGGAAAATACAAAAGAATCCATACACATCTAGAGTTTCTGAAGGGACGGCAGCCCTCCTAACGACCTGCTTTCAGTCCAGGGGAAATGATATTAGGTTTCTAATCATTAGTACCATAAGAAAAGAAACAAATATTGCTTTAAGGCATAAAGTACCACAGCAGTCATTCAAAACTGGTAGTTAGGCCTCTGTGTCCACAGGTCTCACGTGTACTACAGATAAAAAAAATATTCAAGAAAAAAAAAGTACCCCATAAGTCAGACCTAATAATTCAAGAATGTTGCAAGGCATGTTGGTCTGTAATTAGTATGTTGGTCTATAATAACTTTTGGGATTCCCATCATTTGATATTGAAATATTACTTCATTAAATACTATATAATAAACCTAATGTGGACATATCTAATTGTTATTAAGCAAATGAAAATGTCAGTTTGAAAATAAATAAATCTACTATAAGAGAGCGAGAGAGAGACAGAGAGAGAAAATGACTGAAAGAATAAATGAGAATATGAATGTGCCCCTGGGGAGAGAAATGTGGACAGATCGAGACAGAATGCTTAAAGGATTCATTTCACATTGCACTTTGAGTTAAATCCCTTCAAGAGAAGGGATTACCTGAAATGACACCACAGTAATGACTGCGGAGATCTGACTTCGGGGTGACTTTATCCTCCACGGACCTTTTCTGCCTGTACAAGCGGTGTGGGTGACCTGTTATGGCCGTTGTATCGTTGAATGGCTCAATAAATATGAAGTCCTCATTGAGTTGTATAAATCCCATCTGGAATATATAACACAAAAAAATACATAATAAATACCATTTAAAATTACCCTGTAGATTCTACAAACGTGCAGTTTCCTTTAACAAATGTGCCTATCAACTCCTGGCAAAGCTATTTTTGCAACCTATGAGTAAGGTAATGCTCTTCCCATTTTATTACTTCATCTTTATGTACTTTATTGCACTATCATAAAATTCATTTAGTTAGTTTTAGTCCGTGTGTGGGTGGGAGGCTACATGCCAGCAACAGATGCACAGTAAAAATTCTGGAATGTTAAAGACTGACTTTGGGAGACCCACGGGGTCACTTACATGAGCAGCATGTGGAGAAACAACACAGGTTTTAATTGCACATACCACAGTTCAACTTCTTGACAATCTCTACTTAGTGAAGTAATTTATGTAAAATACCAGGGCAAGATGAGGGCCACAGCAATGAAATTAATATATAAGATATTCTTAAACCTTCCACTAAGCATTTTAGAAACTTTTAGGGAGGAGCTCTAGAATTGAAGTATCATTTTCATACATGAATTTCATGTCGTAATTGTTTTAGAGTCATTTAATTGGCAATGTAAAGTTAAGGATCAATAAAAATACAAGTTTATATTTTTGTTATCTGCTGCGACTAAACCTGGTCATTAATTTCTTTCCTCTCTTGGAATATAAACTGCATTATAAATAGGAAAATCCTCCACATAGAACTGTCAGAAGTTGACTTTAAGTTTTTATTATTTAACTCCATAATCCAATCTATAAATGATATACATTTAACTATGTGATCACTTTAGCAAGCATTTTTTATAGAAATATTTTCCTAAAACGTGAATTATCCAAGCCAATTCTGCTGATATAAAGTCTGTAATTTGGTTGCACATTAACCACATGAAATGTATCTGTGATTCATTTTCATTCGTCGAACATATACATAGCATACTAATTTCTTGAGATAAGGTAAATTTTCCAAACTGGATTAAGAAAAAGAATACATTTACATGGACAAATGCATTTTTCTTAGATGCACAGAAGAGATTTTTAATATTGCAGATATTTTCTTTATCTTAAAATATCCATGGTTTCGTTCTGTTTTTTTTCCCCCTGTGAGAAAAAAGCCCAGCACATACAACGTAGTCAAGAAGTAGTTTTTGTGCAAATGAATGATCCTCTATCCTTAGAATGTTTCTGCTTTCTCAACCTCCGCAGCCACTGACTTCAGACGCGAGCCGTTTCCCTGTTAAAGAGCAGTGCGTTTCTGTAGAGAAACAATAAGTGATGGCAAACGCCGGTCCGTTTATCGTTTACCAAATTCCCACAACACATAGAGGCACGGAAGAGTCCCCATGAACTTCACATACTGAGGATTTCACAGCATTAAAGTATTTCTGAAGAACCGAAACCTGCAATTTCCCCACCTCTCTCTGTCCTTCCCCCTACCCTTTGCCTGGATTTCTTGCCACTGAAAGTGCATTTGGGTAAGATTTTTATTTTGTTTTGTTTGTTTTGTGAGACAGGGTCTCTTTGTAGCCCCAGCTGGCCTAGTACTCACCTGGAGGTAGACCAGGCTGGCCTCAGTCTAACAGAGATCCACCTGCCTCTGCCTCCGAAGTGCTGGGATTAAAGGTATAAGCCACCGCACCCCACTTGGGATAAAAATTTTAATGTAATGATTCTTTAAGAACATTAGCCATATGGGCTGGGTGTGGTGACTCATGCTTTTAATCTCAGCACTAAGGAGGCAGAGGCAGGCAGATCTCTGTGAGATCAAGGCCAGCCTGGTCAACATAGCAAGTTCCAGGCCATCTGGGGTTACAGGAAGACCCTATCTCAAACAAACAAAAAAATTTAGGTATATCTTTGGGTCAAATATTTTTGTGTAATTTTCCTTTGAACTCCAATTAGTTATTTTTCAACCACACTTTACTTCTTTCAAAATTAAAATTAGCTACAATTTTAAAATATTACATGTGCTGCAGAGATTGCTCAGTGGTTAAAAAGCACTGGCTGCTCTTGCAGAAGATATGGATTTGGTTCCCAGCATCCACATGGTGGCTAACACCCATTCATAACTCCAGTTCCAGGTCCAACATCCTCTTCCAGCCTCCACAGGCATTGCACAACATGGGTGCACGTCCACACAGGCAGGCACAACATTCATATACATAAAATAAAATAATAAATAAAATATCCCATGGAAACTAAAAGTTGTTTTTCCCTTGGTTGTAATTCCATGAAAAACAAGAGAATATTAAACATAAATGATATAAAGTACTAGCCATTAAAGCTGCAGTTCATCTCTACATAAACTGAGCATATGTAGTGTTGAATTTGATGTCATCAGTCTGGATACAACACTGCAGAATGTTGCTCTTGTGTAGAGTATTAGTTCAACTCAGAGTCACTCAGCATCTTAAGCCACATCCAGTATTGAAGCTGATGACTGAATTGTCATCAGCTGAATTGTCAGAACATCTCTGGAAAACATGCTGAATTTACTTGAATCATGAAGTCATGATCCTGTACACTCTTTCAAAGGGTTTTAAACATTATTAAATTTATAACAGTAAATCTTAAAAATTATATTTTGTAATATATAAAGTTTAACGGATACTAGAACAGATTTTGGATTTGATTTTGGAGATTCATAACTATGCTAGTAATACAGCTATAGAAGGTTACAGTAAATTTGCATGAAAACTTAACAGGGTGTTTGAAGGCTAGTTTCTGAAAACCCAACTAAAGCTCTAATCACGGCAATCAAGGGGTCTGATACTGATTAACTGCTCTCTAAATGTTCCCTATTGCTTTATTTTAATGGTGATAAACATAATAAATGTAAGTAGCCAAACATCTTAATATATTAACTGAAAATCTGAGTCCAGTGAATTGTTTACTAAATGCTGCATTCCCCTATCAACATATTACGAAGGGCTTGAAATGAGTATATTGCTGTTACATTGTTTTGCTAAGATTTATAAACGTTGGGCTGGAGAGCTGGCTCAGCAATTAAGAACACTGGCTGTTTTCTTGCAGAAGGCTCGAGTTCAAATTACAGCACCCAACCACTGTCAGTAACTCTAGTTCCCAGGGATCCAATGGCCTCTTCTGTCCTCCATGGGCATTGCATGACACGGGTGCACTTACATACATGCAGGCAATACACTCATACACATAAAATAAAAATAAATAAAATATTAAAAAAAGAATTATAAATTTCACGATTTTTGGTTTATTAGAATTTTATCTATGGACCTTTTTAAAAACAAGAGAGCCATATTTAAAGTAGAATAATGTTAAAATAATTATAAATGGGAGCTGCAGAGATGGCTCAGTGGTCAAGAACATTGGCTGTTCTTGCAAAAGACCCGAGTTCAAATCCCACATGATGGTTAACAACCATCTCTAACTCCAGTTCCAGGGAACCCAACTTCTTCTTCTGGCCTAGACAGGCATTGCACAACATGGGTGCAATTATATACATGCAGGCAAAGCATTCATACACATAAAATAAAAATAATAAATGAAATATCCCATGGCATAACACTTAAACACATAAAACATTATAAATGATGGCTCGTTCATTCAATACTTGTGTACCTGACCACTGAATGCCAGACTCAGCTCAAGCTGAGGTGCATTCAGAACCAACTGTCACAATGCAGACTTTCCATCGGAGACTAGACCCCTAGACTGGGACATAAATTCTCGAATTTGGTCTGTATCAGTAAGGATACCAGCTTGGATTCAAACAAATGATAGAAAATCTTAGGTTTTCTTTGTCCTCACAATGAGTTTAATATATATATATATATATATATATTATATATTACATATAATATATAATATATATTAGCAAAATAGATTGCTTTATATGAACTGTGATTTTACAAGCCATGAAAACATTCAAACCTATATTAACCTCTCTGCACAAGTGCACAGTATTCACAAATCAGATAGACACCATTTGCTTTAGTGCAAACAGCTCAGAAGGAAAGAAAAGTCCATATCAATTTATATCTCAATGCAGCATTGCATTATAAAGGCAAACCATTTTTCCCCTAATTGTCCCTTTTATGCTTTTCAAAATTAATTTGAAATAATTTTATGGTAATTTCAGAGAATAAAATTAAGCTTAATAGTTGTATGTGGAAAGTTTTGCCATTTTATTCTCTGATTTCACGATTTAGTAAGAATTTCAGGGGGCTGGAGAGATGGGTCAGCGGTTAAGAACACTGCTTGTTCTTGCAGAAGACCCGGGTTTGAATCCCATCACCCATATGGCACCTAACAACTGTTGGTAACTCCAGTTCCAGGAGATCTGACAGCCTCTTCTGTCCTCTGCAGGCATTGCACGACACGGGTACACTTACCTACAAGCAGACATAACACTCATGCACATAAAATTAAAATAATAAAAAAAGTTTTTAAAAATTCAGAACGGTGTGGAGATCACTAAAAAAGTATTTGCCTTACAAGCACAAGTACCTGGGTTCAAACCAAAGCATCAATGTAAAAAACTCGTAGCATTGTGCTGTGTGTTTGGGGAGGCAGATGCAGGCAGATCCTTAAGGCTAACTGGCCAGCCACCCTACCCTACTTGGCCAGCTCCAGTAAGAAACTCAGTTTCAATAATCACAAGATAAGGGCTGAGAAAGTGGCCCAGTGGATAAAGTGCTTGCTGTGCAAACATGCAGACATGAATCTGAATCACTAACACTTATGTAGAAAGCTAGGTATGATCTTAATTGAGACGAGGAGAGGGGATGTATCCTTGGGGCTGGCTGGACAGCTAGTCTTGTGGAATGTATAAGCTCTGGGTTCAGCCTGTCTCAAAAACCAAGGAAGGCAACAGAGAAGGACACGTGATATTGAATTCTGCCTGTATGTACTCTCACACACATTCACTCATACAAGCACATAAATACCATAGCATACCATCCTCCTCATATTTAAAACCAGAATGGCCCCTGAGGATTGTCTGAGCTTGCCTGAGGGTATCCTAT